CCCCCCCCCTTTCCAAAAGAAGACTCAAATACAGGCACACAAAGTCAGATTTGGTGGGGCCAAAGGGGCGTCTTGTACATGCTGAGCGGCAAATGGTGTTTTGTCAGAAGACTGCTGACAAAGGCAACTGGGCCCTTTTGGTTTGAAACTGGAAGTAACTGAAATACAGCAAAACCAGTGGGACAGTGGTGCTGTATGACAGGATTATAACAGGTAATCCATTAGTTAATAGCAGTTTGAAAAATAGATTATTTTAAACACAGCAAAATATTTGAAACAGTACAAAGAATAATTAGTTCAACATTCTTATAGAGAACTATGTTTAAGTGGTGTTATTGATCTGGGTGTCACATTCATTCAGATTAACTCCCCTAATCCAGGCTTTAACATCAGTCCCGTGTTTTTTAAGTGTCTGTTTAATTTGTTATTACACCATACATTTTTTAAGGTAACTAATAATTATGAATCAGCTGTTATTGTCTTCATCATTAACATGTGTTCAACCTGTCGAGTGACAATTAATGACACTGACAAAACATTACTATGATTATAGTAGATTATATCTTATTCTTTTGCGATCGCTGCTGTTCAAGCAGACTTGAGTTTAAAACACTAAGCTGAGGAAAACATCAACAACAAAGGGAATAAACAGACCAAGATCAAAAATCTGTCTTAGCTCCGCTGGAAAATCTATGTCACCCAGGCCCAGATCAATAATGAAATCAGATGCAAATTGTATTGTATAACACCTCATCAAAGAGAAACATATACGTCCATAAAAATTGTCAATGGGTTAACCGTTTGTGTTCAGTGGCGCAGAATGAGCCCGAGCTTACCCGGAGTTTAAGAGCCGATTGAGAAAGAGGGAATTGCATTAAAAACAGGCAACGAGAGAGGATGATCAATAAAATATCAATCAATAGGCAGGCAAAAGGGTCGGGGTAGGAAAATTGGATGGCTCGAGCCTTCACAGATAATCGAAGACGCTAAGACAAGGGTCCCCACCCCCATCGTGCAACGTCTTTCTTTCTGTGATTGTCACCCCCTCCTTGTTTGTCTCAGTACCCCTCTTTCACCTCTCTTTCTTCAGTGCACCCCCTCCTGCCAGTCAGTACCCCTCTCAGGCTCCCCTTCAGTCCCTCTTCCCTCGATGTCTCTCCACTATCTCACCTCTTCTCCATTTCTCTCTCACTCCCACCCCCTCCACCTCTTTTCTCTTTCTCCAGTGCTCCCCCTCCTTCCTCCCGCGTCTACTGCAGCAGAAAAGCCAGCACCGAGAAAACCAGCATGTGTGTGTTTGTACATGAGTGTGTGTGTGTGATACTACGGTAAATCCACGAGCTAGCCTCACACGATCGCCTGCAATCAAGGTGAAATTGAGAAAAAGCCCCCGCGTGCGTGTCGAACGCTCCGATCAAAACATTGATTGCTGGCGCGTTACATCACAGCCATGCAAACAAACCCCCTTTAAATCATTAGAGTAATGTCTCTCCTCCTGTCTCTCTTTATTTCCTCTCATCTCCCACTTCTTCCCTATGTCTCTCTATCTCTCATCTGCCTCGTTGTATTTCCACATCAGCATCTCATTTTCTTTTCTTTATTTTCCCCTGTTTCTCAGCCCTTCTTCATCTCTGTCTCTTCACATGTAATTCGGATCCCTCAAGATTAAAAAGGTTCTGCCATACCGACCAGGACACTTTTAGAAAGAGCAAGGCTGGAATAGAAAAAGGAATGATCTGGGTCACATCGCTGTTTGACGTATGGCACTGGCATATTAGACCTACACAGCAAACTGGGGCTACGTTCGCCCACAAATACAGCCAGTTTCAGGCACTGAAACGAATCCAACTAATCGCACCTTAACACCCATGTAGTATCGCCAACACCACTAACTGCAGCCATTATGCTGAATGAATGTTTTTGTATGATTCATGTGGTCTTTGCCTGTAGATGTAGTGTTTAACTGTACATTGCATAATACAGAGCATAACTCGAGCAACTAGACAGGAGCTACAGTAGCTTGCATCCGAGGTATGGCAACAGCAAAAATGACGCCTCCTTTTGCTAGGACCAAATTTGCATGTAAATCAAAACTATGTCTCCTTCCTGTATACATAACTACCCAGGTGAGTTGTTTCTATGGGATGGAGTGGAGGTAGACGGGGTTGGAGTAGCAAGAAATCAATCTGAGAGCAATTCTTAGAGAAGCACTTCCTGCCTGATCCCAAGTCCAGAGAGGCAGATCAGGTGGCCTAAACCCAGACTATGTGTCAGTCACCATCCGCCACTTTTCTCTTCCTCTGGAGGGAACTGAAGTCAGGTATGCAGATCTATACCTGGCGCCAGAAGAGGTGTGAATGTATGTGTGAGTTTTGAAAACAGGGGGAGTGAAGATATAGTCTCATCTGTGGATAACTGTAGATGTAGTATGTATTGCTGAGTGTGCAGTGATTTATGATTACATTTTCCCCACTCAGCTATTTTCAGCATGATGGCATGAATGCCTGGCCACTGCAGGTGTCTGCCGACTGTCTGGTTTAGAATGTGGACCTACAGTATTCATACATTCCACAGCACCAGTGGTTTCTCGCCTTCACACCTTCAAAACTGAAAATATCACTAGCAGCAAAAGCAGGGAGCAAGATGAGGATGATCAGAATATAACTCTCGATACACAAAATCAAAGCAGCTGTGATCAAACAGCTGGATATGCCTTTAAGTGAGAGGGGGGAGACCCGAAGCCAAATGTAACTGTTTTCACAAACCCACAGATCAAACCACAGTCAGGGGCACTTGTTACTCTTACACCTGTGTGCTCAAATGCCATTAAACAGCTGCTTTTAGCAAGTAAATCATTAACTATTTACATGAAAACAATAAAGGCTATCCCAGCTCAGGAGTAAGTTATGCGTAACAGGAACAAGGACCGTGCGTAAAAGGCATGTAGCTTTCAACTGGAACAAGAAAAAAATCAGCAGAGTGAAGCACTACCAAGGGCAAATGTGTGAAAAGACATGCAGTACAACACGGACGTTTCGACGTCGTAAAGCTTGCTTTCCGCGTCGTGCCAGAATAAATACGACCAACATGAAAAACGGCACAGCGACGTGCATCACAAACGGTATCACCTAATGAAGGCGTTTGGATGCAGGAGGCGCAGTGGATGCTGCGTTCGGAGGCAGATATGCGTTAAACCTGCTGGAGCAGGAGAATGTGACGATGGAAATCATGATAGCGAGACAAATGTGGAAATGTGATTGACAGTCTTCACTGTTACTTCGTCTAATACCCATTTACCAACACAGCTGACATATAGTTTTCCATTTTTGTCTTGCGCTATCAGCATTAATTATTCAATAGCAGTAAGTCTATATACACCAACATTTAACTCGAGCTATACTGTTGGAAATAACACGCCAGCAGTCATAATTCTTCACGTAATTACGAGGGCTTGATTTTTCTGCTTGACAAAAAAAAAGTTTTTTTTAAAACTTATCATGACTCGGGCAGTACTCTGAGATGTCATTAGTCAGAATATGCAACAGTAGCCTATGCAGAAATAAGTTGGTCCCTCTGAAAGAGACGTGGGTAACTCACCCGGGCATATTTGGAGGAATAGGGGTCTTCAAAGAGTGCCCATATTCTGGGTTGCCAGGTTTTCCACCAGCCCGCTTTCCTCGCGTCCTCTTGCATGCACAGTCTTTTCAAGTCCCCATCCGCACCACCCAGCGCCGGGTCGTCATCTGGTGCGTCCGGTTCTGGAGTCTCGAAGCTATCCAGCGCCTCCTCCGCATCCCGATGCTGCCGGTAATTCATCCAGCAACAAGCCTCCACGTCCGTCTCATCGATGCCCCAGAAGGCCAGCTCCTCTTCGAACAGGGGACCGCACACATCGTTGGGACAGTGCAACTTCCCGGTGCGGTAATAGTTGAGGATGAAGGAAAACACCGACGGGTGGCGGTCGAAGAAGAACTCGTCTAATTTGGGGTCGTAGTCGAAGTTGCTGAACGCGTCCGGCTCGGTGAGCCACGACAAGCGGGTACCGGGCAACGTTTTTAGGGTGCTCCGGTAGGTCTCATGCCGCACCCCCCCGCAGTTTATCACGATTTTCTCGCTTTCCGACGGACAAGTCATGTCTGCGCTGTAACATGCTTTGTTGGACGACTTGTTCCCACCCTTGCGCCCTTTAAAAGAGGATACACACACCGAACTGAGCATAGAGGACCGGGGGGAGGGAGAGGATGAGAGAAACCGAAGGGAGGAGGAGGAGGGAGGAGTCTGAGGAGTCTGCGGGAGAGAAAAAAGGGCAGAAAATTTCAGCAGAAGGGAGAAATAGATGTGGATTATCAACATTGCAATACACATTAAAAATCACACGCTAATGCCAGCTGTATGTGCAATCATCCACTTGATAATCAGCCGGTGGAAGGGAGGAAGACGACCTTGTGCAGGTGCAGAGGGAACAAGGAGAGCAGGGATGGAATTGATGGGTAGCAAAGTTGTTTTGTTTTTTTTAAGCACAGCATACCAGAGCACACAAACATGCCAGAGCAATAAACAGGTGGCTTAGAGCACATTCATGAGTCAGCAACCATATGGGCTGACTGTTGACACCAGAGTAATGAGAAGATCCCAGTCTGGAGTTACTGTGCTATGTAGCTTTAGGGTCTCTATACTGATCTGGTTGATGTTCAAGTCAGTGTTATAACTGAGCCACTCAACTCAGCTTCACCCCTCCTGCACAAATGCAGAAATCCTGTTCCTTTACCAAAGAGTCATGTGTGAACATAGAGGAGAACTGGGGATCTTTCTTATTATCCCCCCGCCTTTCCTCACGAATGCTGCTCTGACACGGTGGTGTGTGTGTGTGAGTGTGTGTTAATTGCCTCCCGAGAGTGCGGTGTCCGTACTAATGTTAGATCTCCTCAATCAGCCTATGCGTGTGCTACACACACTGCTGCAGCCCCCTCCGACCGCACTGAGATCCATGCAATGCACAGTTATGCCGATGCTCTCTCTTCTCTCTCCCATGTACTCTGTGTGTGTGTGTGTGTGTGTGTGATGGCATGCAGGGATAGATAAGAGGAGGGGAGTGAAGTAAAGGTGAGAGGAAAAGGACATAAATCCGATTTTTCTTTCTTTCGTTTTTTTAAATCCACCAAAGGGTCAAAAAGGACAGAACAATCAGGAGAACGAGGCTCAGACAATGACCTTATGATGGGGGACAAAGCAGGGAGAAAGGGTGATTTTTTGAGAGAGGGGTGGAAAAAAGAGACAAAGTGAATGCAGCACTCTGACTGGGGGCATTTACAGCGAGCAGCTACTGTAATATTGTCTCTCCTCTAGTAATGGAAGAAGGGGGTAGAAGAGAGTGTGTAAGGGGGCAGGAGGAGGAGGAGGAATTGCAAAGGAGAGTGCTCTATAAAAGTGAATGAATTCTGCTGCAGTAAAAAGCCAGAGTTATTTGCTCGCGCTCTCCCTCTGTTTCTACTCCAGGTGAGGTCGGATTGTTCACCCACGGGCTGCTCTGCCATCCAGAGGGGCTCGCGATGTTTCAGAAAAGCCACGTGATGGCAGCCGCAAAGGCCGTACCTGCACCACATTCATGTTGTAAAACCCTTTTTTTATAGTCAAGGAAATGCACCACTCTCCTCCTCCCCCTCCTTTCCTGCAAGCTCTTAGTAGCCCTCCCTCCCCCCCACCCTCTGCCTAGTTCGACTCTCTCCCTCACTTTGTCTTCCTCACTTGCGCTCACATTCCGCATAAAGGAATCACATTTCATTGGAGGAAGGGGATCGGGGCTTCACTTCTTCTTCTCGAGTGTACCTGTCCGTCTCTGTCTTTCTCTCCAGTTCTTTCTACTACCCCCCCCCTCCCTGTTTTCATTTACTCACTGCAGTCCTAGTCTAATTCTCTCTTCTCTTCCATTTCTCTCGTCTTTGACTTCGCTCACCTCTTCCTCTCTTTTTCTCCTTTCCCAAAGTAAGCTTCCTTTCCTTCGGCTCCATCCTTTCCTTCTCCTTCCCCCTCTTACTTTTTGCTATCTTTCATGCAGGATGCCACTTACAACGTCTCTTTCGCTTTGTTAGAGTTTAATCCTGTTTTTTGGGCTTCTTGTCTGAAGGATCAACTTTTTGGTTGTCCATGGAAAAGTTTCCTGTGTCTTGGCAACACTCAGGTAAGATCCAGCAAAATCAAGGCTACTGCATGGATTAAGCACTAACTGTGCACAGGAGACAAAAACTTAAAGTAATACATCCTAAGTTCACAGATCAGAAAACAAATCAAAGTGTTAGATGCCTTAAGTTTTTATTTTTTTTTCTGTGGCAGTCTTACTTCTTTGCAGTTTTGTTTTTCTGCTGTTTTTTGGTTTGATTTTGGGTGCAGGAGCATTCAAACTGCTTACTTGACAGAAAAGAAAGAAAAAACTGTGAATTTGTTAGTTGCACTGCATTATCGTGCCACAGTACTTTTAGTTTGATGCTTTAAATAGAGCCTGAAGAAATATCTGCAACAAACAGAATGTTTGGAGTGATGAGGTCAGAGAGGGAGAGTGTAAAAAGATCTTAATCCGCAGTCAGCTTTGTCCGGTGGGGCTTTCCAGCAGAGAACACTTGTGTTGTGGGATGGATTATTTTTCAGCACCACGGACAGCGGCACTCTTTCACTCTCTCTGCTCGGGAACTTTTTAAGAAGCAGCTTCTGTGAACTCCCTGTGAAACTTCCATCCTTTAAATAACTTTTTGCGTTGTTGCCATTTTAACTTTGACACATTGCGTCCTGACGTGTTCTTCACAGGCAGTCATGGGATATAGTTGAACTTCTGAATATTTTATACGTGGATAGCCACAAGCCTGTCACTGCAGTTAAATGCCTTTTTGTTCCCTCACACTTAAACATGGTGGGACTATTGATTCTCATTAACCATTCTTTCATGTACCAGAACGTGTAGGTTAAGTGGGAAAGGGCTCAGCTGGGTTCTCTCTCACACTTTTTTGGGGAATTGTTAAAGCCTTTAAGTTTGAACTTGAGTGAATGTTGCCATCATTGTGACAAGATTGCCTGTAAAGAGTTTAGAGGTGAGGTGAGTGCTTTGCATTTCAGTTCAGCTTAATACAGGGGAGGTAAGCACTTCTCTTTAAGAGTCAGCATCAGCACCTTCAGCACTGACAGCAGCAGCACAAAAACACACGGAAGGGGGGGCTAAAAGTGGGGAAGTAAGGCTACAGAAGGTGCAAAATGGAGAAAGTGAAAAAGCAGCGGTTATTAAAAAAATGGTGGAGAGAAAGAAGAGAGAAAGGTTTGAGAAAGAGGATAAAATTTGAAGGAGAAGCAAGCAGGAGGAGGAGGGGGAGAGTGCTGAGGGAGCAAAGTGAAGGAACAATCCCCTTGCCTCCTCTCTCCTCCCCTCCAGCATCACTACTTTCTTTCTCCTGCAGCTTTTCCTGCCTTGGCCACCATGTCCTGCGCCACCCTGCTACTACTGCCTCACCACTGCACACATACAGAGGGGAAGAAAGCGAGAAGGAGAGGGGAATGAGGGAGGGAGTGAGGGGAGGGGTACACTCACACTCACTCACACACACATGCTCACCTGGCTACAATGAAAAGGCTGAGAGAGAGAAAACACACGCACACACATTTTGGAGCCGAAAAGCGACTTAATTTTTCTAAACCTTTTAGGGCAGGAGATCACGTCTGCAGATAGATATGGAGAACGGGTCTCAGAGAGGAGGAGCACACGCGCGATGCTCGTGCACAAAGACTGCACTGACGCTAATATATATTAGCAGAAACACTGCAGCAAGAGGGGGAGGGAGCACGAGATTATGGGATGCATTGACTGTGAGGTAC